CTTAGAATAAATAAATGTACTTCAAAACATCTTCAAACTCACCCATTTTACTACTTATTCTGCACAGTAATGACTTCAAAACACCAGCATTTCTGGTGCAAAATCTAGCACTCAATTATTAATCATGCTTTCTTGCAGTATCGAGTGGAATTTGAATAAATCTGTCACATTGTTTTGATATGAAGTGCATATCAATAGACAGATCTATCCTTAGACTTCCTCTTGAATTGATGTCAGTTGTTTTCAACTTGGCGGGAATTAAGTTGCGTTACAGTGAAAATATTAATATATCTAATAGCTTTCTTTATAATTTCGTGTTGTTTATGCTCAATCAAAGGAATATGGGACTGAAAGTTAAGAAAGAAGCCTGACTGTGTGTGTAACTAACTTGGATAAATGAGATATCCGAAAGAATTAATTATTGAAGGATACTGCTGTAGACGAAAACATTGATGCCTAGGCTGAAATTCTAAGAATTAGCAACTTAAAAAATAAAGCAACACAAAAATGAATTGATTGGTTTCAGAAATTTCAGAGGTTAAAGACTGAATAGAAACTTCACTCTAGAATACATTAGTCAGCCTCTAACATCCAGACTAGTGAGGTCTTGGTAGTGTAAATCTTAAGTTTTCTCTTAATCCACACAATGTTCTCTAGCCTACTGTAAATCACACTAAATTCATAGCCTGAAGTTGCATCTCCACTGTCAATTAAACTTTGTCAGGCGAGATTACTTATTCACCTAGACTCAACCTTACTCAGTCATAGCAGAAGGTACTTGTACGTAAGTTGTTTTATTTGATGAAAGAGAAAATAAGTAAATTGTGACATATTTTGAGGCAACCAGCCCTAGTAGTTTATTTTTCCCACCGATTTTCACTGTTAAAAGACTGATACTGGCGATTCTCATGGTCATGGAATATATTGTCGTCTTTATTGTTCCCATCCATCCATGCCATATAAAACATACTTCCTTTCTGGTGTTGAACTTCAGGTTAAAAAGGAGCTGCTTTCAATCCGTACTGACAGACATTTGATAATTCGTTCATTGATTTGAACTTGATTAGAGGAAACCAATCAAAATCCTCGATTCGGAAGACAGCGAAGTGGTAGATGGTTAGTGTAGAAGGTTGACTTTCAACCATTGGAGTATAGGTTTGAACACCACTTCAACTACAAAGTTTGACCAGTCAGGCAGCATCATGGACCGCCACACAATAAGTGTGGCTGGCTGGCACACAGAAACTTTTAGGAATCCACTTAGTTGCCGTCACATTGGAAGATAAACAGCCTCATAAATTTGACCTTTTCCTACAGTTTGTGACATACGCAGTCTCTTTAAGCTTTGAGGTAAAAAGAAGCAGGTTCAAACCGTTCATCCTATCGAGAGGAATTTACCTGCGAACACTGAGTGTTTTTTCATTCCATGTTTCTTTTCTGAAAGTGATTCCTTCGAAAGTGTCGTCTTCACTTATTTATAAGGTGTCTACGAAAAAATCTACAAACGCGATTATATGTCTATTGTAAATCGACTGACGAGTTGTGTTTATTAAAAGTTCATAACATTTTTCTGGTAATCAAACAGTTCTGACATACGATGAACATATCACAAAAATATTTTCTGTCCATTTTCAAGTGCTGAGTAGCTATTCAACTATACAACTGTGATGTCAACATTGTTTCCGTCTGAAAGCCACTTGAACAAGGTTGCAATTTGTGATCTCTGACACAAATATGACTTCAAATATACTAGTATACTACTTATTCTGATCTGTTGGTCTAACTAACTTGACTTTGTCAGCTCAATTCGCTTGAGTATTTAGTTGATCAGTTACATCTCAAGTGAGTGAAACGACACTCAAATGATAAGATCACTCTGATCTACCTAGGGAAATATACAAGTCTGCCTGAGTGATTTCGAATTCTATTGTTCTTCTGTAAGGCTTTTAAAGAAAACGTCAGTTTCTGGCCGACTCTGTAGATCTGGCAAAATTATACTAAGATATTGGACTTGTGATTTGATTATGTGTTGCCGTTTCACCCTATCTGTGTGTTAAGTCTGTAAATATGTGATCAGCACAACTAAGAATTTTCTTTTATGACGGTCTTAGTATATGTTTAGATAATAGGCAGTGGAGTATACAGATAAACTTGTTGACGTTTGAGTAGAGGAAAATGTGGAGTGATGTATGACATCTTCCTAATCTTTATGTCCTCAGATATCACTAGATAACTAAACACACAATAACTTTGGTACCTCATCACTGGAAATTTTTACTTATTCATAGTTATACTACTACTTTCAACTGACTAGAAATAAATATACTCATTACTGTCTTGCGTGATTAGTTATCTCTCTTAAACAATGATCAAAGTTTTTAAATGGTTTCAACTAATTATTCCCTCTACTCTCCCTCAAGGAATTAAATCTCTTCCACCCACAAGTGTCAATGTTGCCCACCCAATTCTTTGAGACACACTTGAAAACACCTAAAATACTTCTCAGTTGTGTGTCAAATCCTTCAGAAGACAGATAAGATAAGTTTGAATTGCTTTGGTTGTGTTCCGGTGTTTGTTGTGTTACTGCAATAGCTTCGAATGGAGATATTCCTGATGATGCTGTCTAGAATGACAAAAGAGCTTGACGACCATTTCATTCATCTCAGTGAACACAACACAACTAAGAATATCCATTCGAGCTACAAATATCTTCCATTAATTTGAGCAGTTTATTAACTGATGTTATAAGTCAAAGATCCAACTTGCTCTTGAACCTGCAAAACTACTTTGAGAGTTTGAAATGTGCTGAAGTCATTTCAAAATTTTTTTAATTGTTCAATATTTATTGTTCTCTTCGTGAGTATTTGCATAGTAATTTGAACCCTAAGCTGTTATCCTCCTTGAGACAACATATTCAGTTTACCAACAGTGTGAAAATTCAAAATGCGATGAAGACGAATCACGATTAGATTAGAAACTGTGGCATTTCATGCAATCAAAGTCTTTTCTGTAACATTAGTCATCATGTGACTCATAACAACTCCATCAAACTAAAGATGAACAATTGAATTTTGTTGCAAAGGATGTTAAATAAGTGAAAAAATTTCAATAATGAGCTCATTCATTTATATCTCGAACCAAGAAATGGCGTTTTGTTATTACTAAATGACAAGTATATGAGCTTGATGCAACCATTTTATGGACTAGTAATGTTATGAAATAGTTGACAGGAGTGCTAGGTAAGCAAATTCATTTTCAGGGCTGAGTTTTTCCACACTGTCAAAATTGAATCCATATCCATAATTATATCTTGATGTTTAATAGCCGATTGGTGTTCATGTAGACAAAAGCGAAAAGGGTGACCACTTTGTTCAAATTAGTGTTGACTATAGTTATAGCAGTTGATTCTGCTAATGATGTCCTGCTTGTCTTATCTAGTTGTTGCATCCTTTAGCCTGGATAAAAGTGTTTTAGGGGATTTGTTGGTTTATGAGCCACACCAATTTCAAGTGATCTCAGTAATCTCGTTGTGATGTTTGATATGTTCTTTATGTACGGCTCATAAACCAACAATTTCCATCAAAACACTATTATCCACACCAAAGGATGCAACAATCAATGAAGCCAAACTGAATGTCATTTACAAATTCAACTGCATTAACTGCCAACAACACCATATTGGACAAAATGGTCGCCCTCTTCGCCCTCGTCTACATCAACACCAATTGGCTAGTAAATGCCATGACATTTCATTACTCATTTCAATGCACGTGGATAACAACCGTGGACATGAATTCAGTCTGGACAATGTAGAAATTTTGGGCAGAAGAAACACGAAGAATGTCAGAGAATCCCTAGAAGCTTGGCATTCAGGTCAGTCAGTCAGCGATCAAAGATGTATGCACATAGACCCAATTTATCAACCAATGAGAAAAATGTTGAATGACAGAAAGGTGAGAGGTGAAGCAGAGGAACAGGCAATAGGAAAGTCTATACACTCAATGAGACAACAATCGAAGGAAACAACTAACCACAAACTAAATAGTCAGAGCAAGCTACTAAATCAGTCACGGATAGATATTGACAGCTCACTTCATACTGAAGTTAGTGCTGATGATGTCGTCTAGCAAGACGATGAAAGTTCCACGATTAAGCAATCCAGTTCAGAGAACGTGATACAACGAAGACCATCTGTTTGAGCTACAAATATTCCCCACAATTTCAGAAACTGATATGGTTCGTGGGACGGTGTAGAAAATGCATGGTTTTCGGAAATATCGAATATGAACAACACTTAATCCCACCTTAAATTTGTTGAACCTTTACTGTACAGTGCGATATACATCGAAAACAGAAATATGAGATCTAAGCAGGGAGACTACTTCTGCGAATAGTTCCCGTGTTCGAGAAAATATTCCCCCTTAATCACTGCTGCAGAGAAAGTTAATGCTTCAGATAACGCTGAATTGTGCTGTGCATCATATCAATCACTGTCGTATGTACGTGACTGACAGACGAACAATTCTGAAATTTTTTATGACTGTTTACACAATCACTCTTGCTAAAGTTGTAAGAACCATGTCTGTCATGTGAGATGAATTCGTTATTTGACTTCAGGTGGCCGGTAGAAAGCCTTGCTTGACCTGATTTTCATGATTTCCAGCAGTCGTTAGCAAGACGTATTTGCAAGCTTAAGGATCTTATGTTTCGTGTAAGATTTAGACACCCGTCACAACTGCTGCAGTCAAAACTGTCAATAAGGTTTACACCATACTAGACTCCTAAATATTACGGTTCAAATAAAAACTTCGCCAGCATTAGCGTGCCTAATAAATCAGTATTAGTTCCTATAATTTCTCTGACAGTTAAGAAACTAAGCATTACCAACTTTCTAAGTGTACCCGAACGACTGTGAATGCTGTTATAAAATACTATCTGTTTCTTGCAGTAAAGTGAGACAGAGTTTACTGCTCTTGTATAAAAGTCAGAAAAAGACTCACGTTTTTACTTGTACACCATGTGTCAAAAAATTTTCTCCATCAACATTGAGTGTCAAGTCGCCTTCATCGAATATAATCTGGATAGCGTGTTCTCTTCCATCAGATACAAAACCTTTACTTTCAGATTCAATATGTTTTTTATTAAATTCTGGCTGTATTAAACCTGAACCCGTGTTCAGTAAAAAATGCAATCTGCCGAGGCGTAGTTCTAAAGCGAATATATCGAAGCCAATTTGTTTCAATCCTTTTACGTTTCGAAGTAATATTGGTCTAGTGATATCCTTTTGAAATAGTTTGTGTTCATCAATTGAATTACTGTACATAATTAATCCATTTAATGTAGTTGTCCTTAGTGTAAATGTAATCTCTCCATGAAGAACAACTTTCCAACCGTTTATTCTTAAATAACCACCGGGCTTAATGAAAGATACAAAGCTATGACTTTTTGCATGTACTTTATCTGATCTCGGTTGAAGAAGTTTGGAATCGCAGTTTTGCATTAAGGATTGGTCTGGCAGTTCCACATGGATGTCCTTTCTTTGTTCTGTTGCTAGTAATGGAATGAATAATTCTTCACTTTTGTAAGTTAACTGAAAATAAAAGAGTGCGGAAAAAAGATTATTGTTTAAACAAAGTGCATGAGTTCCTTGAGAAAGCTGTTAATTTAAAACAATTACGTGGGTAGATAAGAAAAAGAAGTGATATTTAAAGCTCCCAATTTCAATTAAATGGACTGCAATCTAACTTTAGACTACGAAACACGCCCATTGAGTCATAGAGAAAAGATAATTCAGCGAAGAAAACATCCTTCCTCGACAATATCATTTTCTAGAGCTGTACAATCGGATTTATATATATCATAAACATATAACAGTCCATTATAAAACAGCAGGGTATAATTACATCATTAACCAAGTGCTACGAGAAACCGAATCAAGAATGCGAAGTAGTTGCGTAATAATCTGAGACAGTAGAAATATGGAGGAAGGTGAGGAGTTTGACAAGGTGGAAATTGTTGTTAGATAAGAAACGCAAATATTGAGTGTCCACTTGATGGATGGATAGGTGTAAAGAAGGTGAAGAATGAGACAAGGGTCATAATGAAGGTGATAATAATAAAGTGATTAATTATGATGAAAATGAAAAAAATGAGTGTTAAGACGATGGTAGGATGAGAGACTGAACATACTTGTTTTGCACTCAGAGATCAGGCTTGAATTGATGAATTGCCAGTGCCTCCGTTGTGCACAACTGTCGAAGGTGTACTCCTTTTGAACTATTCCATCTGACACGATAAATGATATTGAAGGAAGATTGTGGTCTAGTTTTAAGTCAAGAGTTGACCAAATGTTCATGAATTGAACTGTTAATTGATTTACATTCTCCCTTAGACAATTATTCAGGATAGTGCTCCGAGATATGTTTGGAAAGCGTGTGCTTTTTGCGGCCTATATAACTAGCTCCAGAGGAGAGAGTAAATTTGTAGGCCCAAAGTGGTAACTTGTCCTTAACGCACTCTGGAATGAGTCATTGAATGGAGAAGCTGATCTGCAGTTTTATAGAGAAGAATGTGTTCTTCAGTGATCCGAACAACCGATTCTTCAGGATCTCGATGTGTGCCAACAAATTTACACCTATTTATCAAGCAGACACTCAATATTTGCGTTTCTTATCTAACAACAATTTCCACCTTGTCAAACTCCTCACCTTCCTCCATATTTCTACTGTCTCAGATTATTACGCAACTACTTCGCATTCTTGATTCGGTTTCTCGTAGCACTTGGTTAATGATGTAATTATACCCTGCTGTTTTATAATGGACTGTTATATGTTTATGATATATATAAATCCGATTGTACAGCTCTAGAAAATGATATTGTCGAGGAAGGATGTTTTCTTCGCTGAATTATCTCTTCTCTGATCTAACTTTATTTTGGATTGGTTAAGCAAGATGCAATGAACTATGCTTTCAGGTAGCTAAACAATATAAATTATCTTTTGAAATTTTCAACCAAGAAGATAAGCATACTATAAACTCCAAATGTTTAGCGTCGATGTAACGCATATACACCTTGTTGTATTCCAGGAGTTTTATCCCTTCTAACTTTTCTATTTTTAGCACTTCCAGTTTAATTTTACTTTGAATAGGAAACGCTTGTTTACATCAATAACTTATAAACCACAGTTTTTTTGAAATATTCATTTAAATACCCTCAAGAAGCATTTGATTTAGGGAGTACAGGAACAGTCGATTTCTTTCAGTAAAAAATCTTCAAATCGCATCAACTTTCATAGTTTCATATGCAACATCCACTCATCATGATTTATCTAACCATTTTCTCAACAAACATCAGTAACATTTTCACCAATAATCAAAGTGTACCGTTTTCCTTAATAAACGGAATACTTGATGAACATTATTTTGTTTTTTACGTTTTTAGAGAAAAGAATTTCGTTCTTAGAAAACTTATTCGTCTAAATATGTTTAAACTATTTTTGATTGACTTGTAACGGTAATTAGCATGAAATAATGAGACATTCTAACATTGTATGGCATTATTCACTTGGATGTCTCTCTATTTCAAGTGAATATTATTCATCTCTTATATTAATTCGTTTTTAATGAACAAGATACAAATCTACTAATTGAACAAATTGTGTGGTAACTCAAAGATATAACTGTTCATTAAAGTTAGCATAGAAATTGACCACACTGTGTTTGGTTTTAATTCAGTATTGTTGATACAGCAGTATAATATTTACTTGGATAGATTTCGGACGTAATTTATTGTCCATAGTCAAAAAAGGTTTGATATAACTGTGAATGGTAATATTTCTTTGCAGGATACATCCAATAAGTCAAGTAATTATATTTTTATTTTTCAGGCAGGCAGGTTATCAATGAAAAAGCAATAATCTTTTTTCCAATTGTCACAAATTATCCATACTTCACTGAAATAATTCGTTATTTAATAGATTTGTATATTCGATTGAAATATAGCACAGTAATACAGTATTATTTACTTTGTGACGTTTTGAGTAAAAATTATTGCTCTTAATTATATTAGTGGAATTACACTACTTACCACATTCCATTTTTATAGTCCCGTCACCAGATATTTATTACTTTTATTGGTAGTAAGATTTCCCATATCTCTAGTATAAATGTTGCGTCATTCATCTTATGTGTGTTGGGTGTTGATTCGATGAAGAAAGATTCAGTAATCAATCTCTCTCTCTGTCTTAACGTAACTGTATTGGACTAAAGTACAGCGGTCTTCTCCCAACTTATTGTTTAGTTGTGTTAATGAATGCATTGCGGTAGCCGAAATTTTTCTGAATTATTGATTTTATTGGGGTCTGTCATTCTATATTTAGCTAGATTCCTATGTTCTACTAGTCTTACTGACCCCAGTTGGCTGGTTTGACCTATGTACTTGACCTTGTAGTCATTACATGGGATTTGATAGATTAAATTATTATAAAATCCTTAAGCTGACAAAGCTCATCTTTGAGTGAGTTTGTAGGTTTCAATGTCAACTAGATCCTGGCTTTGTTGATAATAGTATTTAAAGTTTCTGACGTACCTTCCTTATAGTGTAACACAATGGAGACTTCGAACTCCGTTCTACTGGTGTTGTAGTTATTATTCGTTCTCATGTTACTCTTATTATTTCGTTTCTTATATGTTTGTACGAATTTCTTTAAAGGCTCTTAAGAATAATTATCAACTATTAGCGCTTAATTTATGTCCTTCACTTCTTTGTTTAGGTCTTTCCACTGTCTAGTCAGTTTTCCAGCCATATCATTTGAACATTTGATTAAACCTCCTTAAGTGATTTTGGATGAGATGATATAAAGTCTTTGTACTAAAATACCAATAAATATGGTACTGAGGGCAGTAGGAAATCGACTAAGTATTGACTCAGAAGTCACTCATAGAACTAAGATATCGGTTGGTGAGGTCATATTAGGCATAAAGTTGTGCTTGACCTCCACAGTTTCCAGGTTTCAAGACAAAGTATACAGACGAACAGAAGGAATGGCAGTGGGATCATCATTATCCCCAAACGTAGCAAATATATTTATGAATAGTTGGAAAAGGATCGCTTTACAAAAGTTTAATTCTGCACCAAAAATATGGTGGCGATATGTGGATGACATACTTACTGTGCTGAAGTCGAAACGTATCGACAATTACCTCACATATATAAATTCAGTAGCAGGCGCAATGCAGTTAACTTACGAGAAGGTAGAAAATGAAGAAGGAGAATTACCCATGTAGGATTACAGGATAAAACGAAGGGTAGACTCCGGTTTTATACTACCGTCTGCAGGATATCTAGACTTCGCGCAACCGCTTCAAATATAAGTTAGGTAGGTTTAGTCATATGTCTAGATGACAGTGTTTAAAAAACTCACTAGTCATTTGAAGGACTTTAAAAAGGAATTGAAACATGTAAGATAAGCGTTGACTTGGATCTCAACCTCTTTCAGGACACTCATAACGACTATGGCCTAGACATTTATAATTTTACTAAGGTTTTATGGTTCTACGAACACAAAGCTGTCTCCTAATTCGTCATATATATCACAGGTGAAATGTATGCTTGCCCCACTATATTGCAATATGCATATCACTTAAATCCTTATTTATTTAGTTTGGCTACTCTGACTGGGAGGTAATACCAGTAGAACAACCAGGGAAATAAGCATTGCATATAGTCAGTATAAGTCTGTGACTTTCATATTGTTATAATGTGTAGGTCTAAATTTCAGAAGTAACATTTGGCCAAATACAAATTCAAAGCATTTGTAAAAATACAGCCAATCTTTTATGAATTGTGCTTCGGCTGTCTTTTTTAATCATTCATCAAATACGGATTCATGTTATTGATTGTATTCTTGCTGACAAAATCTACGAAGTTGTTCATCTTCTACAGACGCTTAATCAAACAGAAAGTGGGCTGTTATCAATCGTGCATAGCTGTACAGACAGTGATAAGTAGGTGAAGCATTTGTATCATAATATTAGACATAATTCTAAGAGTTATTATATGTCCTAATGTTTAATCAGTGGAATGGACAGAACACTATCAAACTGTTGTATAAAGAACCACACAATCGAAATAATCACTATTAAACTTAAATTAGATCGATTTTCGCGAAATCAGATTAATGGTTTTGTTTCGCTGTTACATTAACAATCAGTCACTTTTCAACGACATGCAAAGGTAGAACTCCAAATAGGATATTCTGCAATAATAATCATCATTACCATGTACTGAAATACTTGCAATTCTCCGTCGTTTTATCGGATCGAAGTATTCGACGTCTGTTGGCATATGGGCTCCTTCTTTGATGTCTCGATATTGTCTGAATGTTAATTATGGTAATTTGGTTGGTCGTGACTAGCAAAAATATCCAGAGAGAGCGTTTCGTCCTGTTTGGGACTCGTCGGCTGGATGTACCTGCAACCCGATCAGTGATGTTTTTCCCACTGAGACTCAGACCTCTTATCCATCGCTTCAAACGCCAAGACGTAGCGTAATGGATAACACCTTGGCGATGGATAAGAGGTCCGAGTTTCAGTAAGAAAAACATCACTGACCGGGTTGCAGGTACATCCAGCCGACGAGTCCTAAATAAAATGAAGTGCGTGTCCTAAATTCCTCTGCCAGTGACAGTTAAACCAAATTACAATAATCATATTCGTTTTTTTGTTTGCATGAAATACTTCAAGCCATGTTGGTAGGGTTTATATTTCTTTTGTGGCGCTAAACATAATTTACTTTTCCAAATCACGTACGTAAGTAATAGTTCCTTACTCAAAGTAAACCTATCTAGTAGCGAATTGAAAAACAAAGAAACAGAAAAAAGGTTCTTACTGGAAAAAATTGAAACGAAAGGAAAATTAACAAAATAAGATAGACATACTGATCGAAAACATCCCCTAAAATTTGTTTGATTCATTGGGACTGGGAAAATTTGCATTATAGCTTGTTGTGAAGTATTCAGTAGATTGATCCCCAAGTGCATGCTTTTCACACTGAGTGATCCACCTTGAATAGGAAAGGTGAATTTTACTGGGAATTGATTATCTATTGTTAGCAATAGCTGCAATGAAACAAAAAAGTTAGCATATAAATACCCATACCTAGAGTATATCAGGTTAGAGAAATTATGGTGTTAAGCTGAAGAAATAAGCAATCTTTACAGGTAAGAAACTCTGCTTGACCTGATCAACAGGGCAAAACAGCAACTCTAGGAAACTGAGAGATTTGAAACCGTATCTTCTAGTGTTTCTGTTAGGGACTTTACCATCGGGCTATTCAAATTAGGATTGGTCCCCTATAAAACTTGTTTCGATAAAATGATTGGCCACTCCAGGGTCATCACTTTTATGTTTAGCACCAAGGACAAGACAATCTGGAAATAGTTAATCTCCCATGACCAACCATTGGATACCTACATCCATTTAAAATCCATATTTTATAATTACTAAAGTGATGTGTCAGATTTTTACTTTAAATAGCAAGATACAGTGACCAAGACAATTTTAGGCATATTGGAAGCTTCATAGTTGGTGGATTGCAATAACATAAGCAACACAAAACCTTCTTCAGTGTACAACATCACGAAAGAGTGGTTATAATCTATACAGTGATCAAAATTCTTTGAAGTTATGAGCAGCTGAACACTCTTTGCATCTTTCCGAACAGTTTATCCCCTCAGTGTTTCCAGCTGCCAAAAGGGATCACTATTTTTACAAGTGCAATTCAGTTCTTTTTTTTTAGAAACACTGGTTATTCAAACACTTATAATGTGACAGAATACAACGACTAATCTGTTCTTTTTGAAAAAAGATAAGGTAACAATAATCTTACTAAGGCATTCTGAAAATGACTTCACATGAACAAGTTGGTTATCTGAATGAGTGACTAACAAGGCAAATATTTTTCAATGTTTCTTTATACTAATATACAAAGTTCACATCTTTTCTGTTGCATACAAAGAACGATCCAATCCACTAACTAGAATAAACCTCATGCTTTTTTAGTTTTGTAAATTTCAGTTACCATATCTACAAAACTGTGTGCCTTCTCTAAGATATGGTGTTTCCATTTAGGAATTAAGAATTTAAACTGCCTACTTATCTGTAGATGTCAAAAAGAAACTGAAGATAAATGAAGACATTGTCATATAGAACAGAATTTCTTTCCTCACTGCCAATAATTTGACTAAAACAGACACCAGAAAATAATCAGATATGTGGGCATATATTTACATTGCATACAGTTACTCTATCCACTAGCTAATACCATAACTGAAACTAAGAATAACGAACTTTTTCACTGTCCACGAAGTTTGACAGAAGGATTTTTAAACTGACTTATCTTCTTATCAGTCAAATGTAACGCACAACATTAATGTTCTATGCATTAAGCAAGATAGTCATCTGGAGCATATTTTACAGTTGTTCATTGACATTTTAGCAAAACTACAAACCAAAGATGGAGATGACCATAATTTTCAAACTACGTTATATGACCTTGCGTCAATATTGACCAGTTTTCAATTCACCTGCATTTAGATAATTGTAGTAATTCAATTTCAAGGTTTTTGAGGATTGATTAATTTCAAGTTGATATTCATCATGGACTGAAATCAGTTGGAAGAACATTGGTGAGTTAGAAGCAGCACACAGCTGTTTCCTCTTAGTATGGGACTACTTAGCAGTGCGTAATATGACCCTACTCCATAGGGATCAAACCCATGACCTTCGGGTTCTGCAACCAATACGTCACCACTAAACCACTGAGTCGAAATCCAGTGGTCTGTATTTCCTACCACCGTCATTTCACGATGTATAGCTCGATCTACACCCAGTGCCGTCGTTCAGTAACTGTTCAACTTGGTTGGCTCCACTGATCGTGACTTCTCACTGAAACTTTAAGAATCACCACTCGAATCTAGTCACCAAGGATCACACGGCCGAAGTACAAAGTATGGACAACTGGACTCTGACCCAGCGTCTCAGTGGTAATGTGCTGGTCACAGAACCTGAAGGTCCTGAGTTTGACCCGCGGTGGGGTTATCGGTGCTTCCTGCTGGGTAATCCAATAGTGAGACGAAACAAATGTGTAGTGCTCCCAGGTTTCCAATGTTCCTCCAACTAGTGGCAGTCCATGACGAATACCAAACTGAAATTGTAACTGTATTCAAAATTTTGCAATGTTGCATGCCTGTAGTCTGTCTCTTAATGTTTCTGAATATAGAACCAAGAAAAATGAAGCCTGTTATGGAAGAATTGTTCCCATCAAAGAGCTCACTTCTCGGTTGTATACCTACAAGCATACTCATGAACATATAGCAAAGTGTCACTAAGTTTTACACATGAATGTCTGTACCACGCGAGGCTACTTGCTGTCTAGTACCCGTTCTTGAATGTACACCTTCAAGAACAACTTCCTCAGACAGAAGCATTTCTTCACTGTGACTATATACTTTCTTTTAGAGGTCGAAGCTCACATTTGGCAGTGCTGATGGTGTTGTCTTCTCTAAGCTGGATGGTTCGACCGTTCATTGTCATTCTAGACAACATCATCAGCACGAACCTCTATCTGATGTTGTCCAGCATTGCAATGAATGCTACAGCATTAAATCATTCAGATTAGTTACACATATTCTCCTTCATCTCAAACTTTAATAATTTCTCTCTGCCTTATTAGTTTCGACACTTTCACTAGATAAATTGGAACAGTTCACTTTGTAGACTTGTCGTCTTCTGAATATGAAGAAAGTTCTGGGAAGACTTTAAGTATGAGAATAAATTTCTGCATGTTAGTTATTTGCTTCAGTAAATGCCTACCATCTCATCAGGCATATGAATAATATGCATAATATTAGTTCCTGTGTTCTCTCCACTTTTAGTAATGGTCGTATTCAGCATTAGATAGTATATGAGCGTACGGAATAGGATAGTGAAATTTTATTAGTAGTAAATTAACTCACTGAAATAGAACTTACGTCATTTTGTTTTATCATCAGTAAAAGCCTGTGCCATTTAGTATCGGCGCATGTGTCATAATCTGATATACAATAGATGAAACGTTTAGTATCTACATTGTTCAGATAGGAACTTGTCAACGTGAAATGATTAGACAATTTGACAACCAATGTTCCATTTAATAAAAAACCTTGCATATAAAAATCAACTGTCTTCTTCATTTGAGGCTTCCACATGTTAGTAAGTTCTGTTGGAACATAACAAAGAAGAATATTTACTATAATATAAACATGTATTAGATAATAAACAAAGTTTATCTAAAATAAGAGAAACATTAGGCACATATTCTTCAGTGGAAATGTTCTCTAGTATAATTGTGTATCAAAGAATATTTTTTCTCCATAGAGGGAGTACAGGGTTAGGGTTATTTTCATTATTTTTTGACGAGACCAAACAACTGGTTTCTTGTGTTCAAAAGAAATATGCTCAGGAAAAGCTTTGAACTTTGAAAATGAAAAATGAAATTTTTAAAAATTCCTCCAACTATAAAGCATGTAAGTGAAAATTTCCAATAACATATGATTTTTCTAACTCATCGGTCATAAATCTTGTATTTCTTTATAGCTCTCAGAAGACCTCTTTAAAAAGTGAACATACTCAACAATGAATAAAACGATTTAACTAACTCTCCCACCTTGTTGTTAAGTTATGGGATAAATTTCACAAATACTTTGTGAGCACTCCTTTTTAGCCTGCTTTCATTGTCGTATGCGTTATTATCGACAGAGGAGAATGGCTGTACGACCTATCTCAGCGCAGAGACTGCTAAAAAAGTTACGAAATATCATAATGTCGACATATTACCTGAAACACTATCAATACTTTTGTAAACTTCAGGATAAAAACTTGACCTGATAGAGTTGAATAAGTTGAGCATTGAGTAAATAGATCACAAATGAAATATATTCTTAAGAATAGTAATGATGAGTAGTGTCTAGCAGTGGAATCCAGGACGCCCCTTTCGTCCCATTTGGAACTCATCGGCTAGATGTATCTGCCTCCTAGCTAGTGATGTTGTTCCCAACGAGATTCGTGGATAGGTGGTGTGGTGGATAAAGCTCTCTCATTTGAAGCCATCGCTGTCGAGTCCGAATCCCGGTGGGAACAACATCACTCAGTGGGAGCCGGCAGGCACATCCACCTGACGAGTCCCAAATAGGACGAAGTGAGCATCCTGGATTCCACTGCTAGCCACTACCTATCATTACTATACATACTTAAAACACGGAAATTATCGAGGCACCCGAACTGGAGCCCATATGCCAACAGAGACTGATCAATTTGGTTCAGTCAACGACGGTGTAGTACGAGCAATAACACTTTATTCTTAAGATCCTTTTGAAGTAAGAAAGATTAATTTCTGATGTTTCGAGACTTCATGGACATTGCTTCTTCAGTGAATAAAATTTGTACAAGTTACACAATTTTTAAACAGTAAATGGTGACGGATCAGATCACACTGTCGATATATGATAATCATAAGAACATAAATGTCTGTTATGCTGGTCAGGAATGGTATTTATGTTCACATTATTATCACAAATAGACAGTGTGATCTGATCCGTCACCATTTACTATTTAAATAGGTTTTATTCACTGAAGAAGCGATCTCCATGAAGTCGTGAAACGTCAGAAATTAATTTTTCTTACTTCATCAGGATCCTGCATGGTTGTCGAGGGGAGAATGTAAATCAATTAACAGTTCAATTCATGAACATTTGGTCAACTCTTGACATAAACCTAAACCACAATCTTCCTTCAATGTCATTTATCGTGTCAGATGGAACAGTTCAAAAGGAGTACACCCTCGACAGTTGTGCACAACGGAGGCACTGGCAATTCATCAATTCAAGACTGATCTCTGAGTGCAAAACAAGTATGTTCAATCTCTCATCTTACCATCGTCTTAACACTCATTTTTTCAATTTCATTATAATTAATTACTACATTATGAACCTTGTCTCATTCTTCACCTTCTTTACACCTATCCATCCATCACGTGGACACTCAATATTTGCGTTTCTTATCCAACAACAATTTCCACCTTGTCAAACTCCTCACCTTCCTCGATATTTCTACTGTCTCAGATTATTACGCAACTACTTTGCATTGTTGATTCTGTTTCTCGTAGCACTTGGTTGGTGATGTAATTATATCCCATTGTTTTATAATAGACTGTTATATGTTTATGATATATACAAATCCGACTGTACAGCTTTAGAAAATGGTACTGTCGAGTAAGGATGTTTTCTTCGCTGAATTGTCTCTTCTCTTAAGAATATATTTCAACCACTATCATGACTGACAAGTTACCGGGCCTAATGACTTTACATTTTCTCAACACAGAAGAAAATCAGATACAGGTTATGCTGGCGCATGAAGGACCTCTAATAATGGTTATAGAATGATGTCATATTCCATATATCTCATTTAATTATGAACTTTTTATGCATCTCTAATTATTACACGATAATACGTGTACCATCAGTTTACACTAATAACAGGTTTCCTCTTTAGCAAAACAAGATTGACAGATTTTGTTAAACAGACTAATTATCTTCCCTGTGACTAACACAAAAAGGTAATCTATGCGTTGAAAAATGCATAAAAGTAACAGAAGTTTGCCATATATATTGATTTGGCACCAAATTTTATAAAAAAATATTTTCTGTTTAGTAGAAATAAAGGTGGATATCAATGAAGAAACATTAGAACATTTCGAGAAGTTTCAGAATTCTCAACATGCATTAAATTAGACAGATACTTGAAGTGGCAAAAATTGTATCATTGTTATTTTACCAGAACTGCATATTTTTTGGGGAAAAAAATATAAGTCCTATTATTTAATTCTAGGGTCTTTGAACTAAATACTTTGTATCCTAAATCGCTTTTTCCCAGTTGATATATTTTCTTCCATTTTCTTCAATTACAATCTGAATTCACGTTTTATTCATATTTGTTTCTAGAAACTGTTTGGCGCAATGAAAATAAGCAGAGGTAAAAAAATATTGATCAAGGTATCATTGATAATACTACATCGGGTTTTGATTTTCTTTAGCCTGCTCAAAATAAAAACTATTTCAGACTAGATCTTTCTTATCATCCATAATATCTCATATGGTAAGTTAACTTCCTCTTTAAATTATTGTCTTAATGTGAACATTGGTTCAAGATAAATCTGTCATCATCACTACAGAGATCAACATAAGACGGGGAATGACTGCGTAGTCGTCCAACTTGCTAAACTGTATTATCAGCACTTCAGGTAACAAGAAAACAAAATGGAAGATGGAGAAGGAAAGGAAATAGGTCATAAAAAGCAGAAAGTAGTAACGGAGAGGAGGAGCACCACTGACATCGATTCTGAGCCATATAATACAGTCTCCAACCACTGTTTTCTCTTATCTCGTGCACACAAACCCGCTAATATGCATCACTCTACAAGGCTGAAACGAACAGTCAAGGACTACATGCACTGATGCCACCTTTTAGTCTGGCCAGGTATACGTAACACTAAAGGGTTTGGTGATTATCGGTTAGGCTGCTTTCTCTGAGGCTACTGCAAGAGGACTTCTCGCCTTTTTTGAAGACTTGGATAATCAGTAGTTAAGACCGACCACAGGGGTTCATATTTCACTCTCATCCACTAGTGAACGCTTCCGTTACCTCGACCAAAAAAACAACTGTCCTATTATACTTAAGGAGCTAGTCCGTCTAGCCCAGCTGCACTATCTCGTTTCAAGTTACCTACCATTTTCTCGACATGTGAAAGTGTTGGTGGGCCAATCTCAATGTTTCATTCAGAAGTCAACTAAATAGTGGTCATCACAATAGTAACTGGAGGAGAGTTGAACTGTCCCCCGAAGTCTTTTGCCTATCATTCCACTGGTCTCCCCTGTGAATGAATCACAGACTGGTAGCTTTTGACAGACTTTATTCCGAGTGTACCATACCCGTTAAACAAAAAGTGGCTTTTGTGACCTAGTCATCTGATAGGAACTCTTTGACATTTGAAGCGATCGGTCCTAGGTTAGAGTGAAAGAGAAAACAACATTTCTCACTGGGAGGCGGGTGTATCCGGTTGACGAATCCCTAGTCAGACGAAATCCACTTACTTGATTTCGATGTTAGCAACTACGCATCATCAACTTTTGTTATATATTTTTCAAATTAAATAAGATTATCTGCTTGTTCTATAATGTTTCGAACAGTATTTATTGTTCATATCCATGTTAAACCAAGATCCAGTCAAGAATCTCTCCCTTCACAGCTACAACTTAGTTTTAATACTAAAGCTTCGTCCCATCCTATTACATGATTATGTGTGATTGCATGGATCATATTGGATGAGCCTCCTTCTAGATTCCTGACCTTTTCATTCTAGATTTGGTCAAGTTTAAACACCTTCCTATTCTAGTTTACCCTGGTCAACACCATTGATCTATGGACTTGATTTTAAAGTTCTTTCATGGAATTCACTAAATTATGTTAATTTATCCAGTTTTCTTCTTTAGCTCACAAAGCTTCTTTCTTATTCAGTTTGTAAGTTTGAAAACTACCCTAAGCTCAACTAATTTGAGAAGCTTTCCAAAACTTTTCTAGGTATTTCCTTCATGCAGTATCACTATAAAGGTTTTAAAATTTTACTTCTTAGTGTTGCCGTTGTTAGTATGTATACAACATATATCTGCATTACTCATTTCTATTCTCCAGTTTCTTGTACATATCTGAATAGTTTTATTTTGGTAGTTTTTAAGTATCAAGGTGTCTATTTTGTGTTGTATTTCCTATCATAAATTTTCTGTTTTACTGCTTAGATATTTCAGTTTCTCATTTAAAAATTCCACTGATTCTGTTTCGAATTGCAGATATGAGATGATCTAAAAGTTTAGGTATCAATTCGAATGCAAAGGTTTCCTCTAGACATTCATGTTTCAGCGAACATTTTGTCTTCCTTTCTTTTCTGTAGTCAAGTGGAGCTGATTCTTCCTATCCACCACCTTATGATTTTATTAGTACACCAGATTCCACAATCAAGTGAACAGAATACTGATAATCGTTTGCTTGGAGTGAAAATATGCTTGAATTCTGAAGTCTTTCAGTTTCAAGAAAAATTCTACAAGAAACAAGAAGGAGTTACTATGAAATCATTAGTATTTCGCTTCAAAATACATTGAAAATCATTGTTGCTTCACTTCACATCGTTGCTGCGTTGTTAACCTAAATTTACTTCGGTGAGAGCTACTCGCTAAGGTACAAGTAACTACATCTATTACCCGCTGGTGACCACTCAGCAACCTTTATCAAGTTAGAAGGCTAATGAAGACGTAATAACCGACTTCTTTTTATCGTCAGCATCATTCAAAATTTTCTACTAAACAAGCAGCATGTGACTGATTTCCTAAGGAAATGATATACTTTCATAAGCACTTTTTATTTACTCATAATTATCAACAACCATCAACAAAAAACATGATTTATCTATCCTATCTACTTGACTACTATTCATTCAATATAAATGAACCAGTCTACTACTAAGCCTTTTACAGTTTCATTAGATAATAGTAAATAGGAACCTACCGAAACTGAACATCATTTGATTCTGATCTCGTGTTCTGAATTCTAAATAAATATTTTCATTGTATCCCATTGTATCAAAATGAAATGTGGCATTAGTCTGCCCGTTTAAATTCAGTATGCTGTGAGAATCTTCTGAAATTAACAAATAGAAGACAAAGCAAATGAAAGTGTATACAGAATATTACCGAGGCTGTTATTTTTAAAAACGAGATAAAATTTAATTGTATCTTTAGATACATTGGTTTTCATATTATTCATATACGGAATTAAACCTAGAAAGTCGTTTGTAAACTCCGTGACACATGGTGAATTTAGAGCAACGATATTTCGCACGCATAAATAAAGCTTGAAACTAATAAAATTCCACAGAGCTGAACCTTGTGGAGGCCTTTAAAATTTGAAGCGTTGTCAATGAAGTTGTTGAAGCAACAGAACGTTCAACAAACTGATAAATTAGGGCAAAATACTGGATGTATTGATCATCACGAACTAATAACAGTTGGAGAACCATTGAAAGCATCGTAGCACTGGAGGGTTTTTCTTACTAGTATGGAATCACTCAGCTGCTGGGTCACAGTCACAGTTGTTTACATTTTCTTATTCTCTCAATGCATGATATAAATCTCTTAAAACCTCCAAATCTGCTTAATGTTCAGTGCTCATCAGTAACATGCTTCTAGATGAGATTCCCTGAAGTTCTAACCAGGAGTTGTAAAGAGTGCCACAATGCAAGTCAGACTGGAGGGGAAATGCTCAGCGATGGTATTATACGAAAGTCGCTGTATGTCATGTCATGACAGATGAAGGGAAATGCTCACGGTTGGGTTCCAACCCAGTAGTTAAGTTGTAATGTGCTCGCAGTAAAACCTGAGGTCCTGGATTCGATAGCGGACGAGAGTTTGGGTGCCCATCCCCAAGGTATATCCTTGTGGGATGAAACAACTGTTGGGTGCTCCTACGTTTTCAATGTTTTTTCAAGTTCTGTCAGTCCGTTATGAGTGCCATCTTGAAATCAATAAATCAGACAAAATTCCAAATTTATGTTATTTTCAGGCCAAGAACATAACTAAAAATTTGTAAGGCAATACGAAAAATGATTAGCTTTTTCACAATGTTTCACCTTGTCGATGTAATGTAAAAATTAGTCGGGCTTGGTGAGCATTAAGTTGATGCTATTTATGACGGTATCCGAGATAACGATCATTTGACAAGCTGGTGTTATTTATAGTAGGATGACTGGGGGAGGTCACTGTGAAACGAACCAGACTTCATGACAATCATATCTTCGTCTTAATTCAAGAAATTTTTAAGTGTCGTATTAATTTCAAGTACTTTGGTTTGGATTTTAAACAGTTTGGATCCTCTTAGCACCATCACGAAAAAGACAATATAACAAAACTGAATGGGAATTTTTAAATATTTAATGATGCCTGTACTATTTTTATCATTATTATGCTTAGCCGAATTGGTTAGTTGCTATCACCATGTAGGTAGCTTTAACAGACCCCATGGCATTGACTCAAGTTTTATTCTCATTTCCTTGTTGGTGGCTGAAGGTGGAATACACCAAGAACGTTCTGTCCTGAGTAGGATGCATTTGCTCAACCCACCTGCATCTCAGTGATTCAAAATTTTTCTAAGTAAACTACTACTAACCACTTATCACTTCAAACACAAGAGTGATATCTTCTATGCAAGTGATACTAAAAAGTCACTGTTTGGGCAGCGGAGTCCAATATTAGGACAAAACAGCTGTTCAGTGCTCCTAGGTTTCCAATGTTCCTCTCAGTAATGTCAGTCTATGATGAGTACCAACCTGAAGTCAGTTAACAAATCTTTTCGTGCCTTTAGACTGAATTATTCTAGCTAGCATTAGTGACTGGCTTCGACAGGTAGTTCCACAAGTTTCAGTCAGAAGTCGTGACCATTGAGATCAACATTGTCGAACATGCGGATAGTTAGTCAACTACGGTATTGGATGGAGGTCACACTATATGGTGAATGATGTCTGAATGATTAAAGCGTTATCCATGAAAACCCTAGGTCCTGAGTTCGATCCCCATTTGGATCATGGGTGCGTATAGTTGGGGAATTCCATTCTAGGATGAAACAACCGTCCCTTGCTACCAGGTTTTTAATGGCTCTTTAATCAATATTGGTCAGTGATGAATACTACCTCATGTATTTTATCTCTTAATCTCTTGTCTAGTTAATCCTCCAAAACCATTCTTCTTAAGAGTGTGATTAACATTTTAGTAACCATGTCACAAAGAGTATACACTTTTGTCACTGCATTTTAACCAGTAAATGGCTTAGAAAACAGTAATATGTTTGGTGTTATTACTCGTATTATACCGTCGTTGATTGAACCAAATTGATCAGTCTCTGTTAGCACATGGGCTCCTGTGCGGATGCCTCGATATTGCCTGTCTTTTAACTATATATAATAATGATGGGCAGTGGAATCCAGAATGTGCATTTCGTCCTATTTGAGACTCGTCAGCCCATCATTACTATACATAGTTAAAAGACAGGCAGTATCAAGGCATCCTCACAGGAGCCCATATGCCAACAGAGACTGATCAATTCGGTCGAATCAACGGCGGTGTCATACAAGCAATAACACTAAACCTATACACGTCGCACAAGAAGTGACTATCGTGGCTCGTTGGTGTAGTGGATAACTTTCTCGCATTTGAAGCCATCGCTCTCGAGTCCGAATCCCGGTGGGAACAACAGCACTCAGTGGGAGCCGGCAGGTACATCCAGCTGACGAGTCCCAAATAGGAAGAAATGCACATCCCGGATTCCGCTGCTAGCCACTCTACATCATTGCTATAAAGTATACGTTTGGTTTCAAATATTTTGTGTCGTTTTTTAAATATATGGTTGAATTCACATCTCTTTTAACGATAGAAACACCGTAGATTTTATAAATTCAGTCCTAAATTTTTTGGTTCTTTGAACCTGTTAGATCCGAGGACTTTTCTGTCTTTAATCATTTTATACCATTAAAATATTCTTAAAAACTATTGTCTACTATATCACGGTTTGTTTTTTAATGTGATTAGTTTCTATTTGGTTTTGACGAATTGAAAAAATACACACTTGTAAACCTTCTTCCACATGGTGACCAATACAAGAAATTGCTAAAGTTATTTTTTTTTAATATATGTAAGATTTTGTCGTTGACTTTTTCTAATTTATGGGGACTGTTTAGTTTACTCTTCTTAATGAGTTCGATAAATGTTGAAGTACATACTGAAAACGTCTGGTATGCTATCTTCCTTTTGGTAGAAATAAAACATGAAATATACACTGCCTAACTTTTTCGATAAATAGAAAGACTGATCAGAGAACAAACTAAGAACATAAGTATTATAAATAGTAGGTAACTTAATGCTTACTTATATCAACTAGGCAATACCCTTATTCGTAATGAAAAATATTAATTGGTATTTTCTTATGATAAGAAAATAGAGAGCATATCTTGCTAGCACTATTAACTTGAGTTTCATGCATAAAAATTGTAACGTTTTGAGCCAAACACTCTTACGGCTATTGAATCTCTCCAAAGCATATTCATACGCTGAATGGAATAAATTGTAAGCAAATTATTTTTCTGTCTTACTGCTTTTAAATCGTACAATATAAGTTAAAGATAGACTCATATTCCTGACAAATAGTATTCACTCAGAAGGTTAGATTTGTTGTCTATTGGTAAGCTATAACTAATAATTTTTAAGCCCTACCAAAGGGCAAGAAGATATTTAGATGATAGTTGTTAACTATAGTCCATATTTTTGAGGTTAATTCAGCATGAAAACAATTTCCCTTAAGATAAAAATTTATCATTGGTATTTTGAAGAGGAGAATACGCTGGACCGGGGAAAGGATTCTAGAAGATTTAGATTTCGTCGATGATTTGTATCTAATGTCACACAAACTTGAAGATCTACAGGCGAAAACTAACAAGTTGGCAGAAAAAACGAGGCAGCGAAGACGGGACTTCAGGTGAATGTAGAGAAGACAGAGGTGATGAAGATACCCAACCAACAACAACAAACACCAATCACCATGAACAGGAGAAACTTAAAGGAAGTATCCTCTTTCACCTATTTAGGCAGCACTTTTTCAACTACAGGCGGCACAGGCACAGCTGAAGACGTCAAAGCAAGGATCGGAAATACTGCAAGACAGGCGTTCATTAACGTGAAACCAGTGTGGGGATTTGCTCTCCGCTCAGCATGTGGAACAAGATCCGGATTTTTAACACCAATCCAGTCAAGTCAGTGCTTCTGTATGGCTAAGGGACTTGACACATTAAGAAAGGGATTCCCAACAAACCTTAGACAATCATCGACAACTGCCTACACTGGCTCGTTACTGGAGCTCAGATGGCCAGAATAGTAAGAATAAGCAACAAGGAACTCGGGCTGTTGACGACCAACCAATAACCTATCGCCGAAGAAATATGCACTTGAAGGAAGTGAAGATGGATTGGGCATGCACTGAGAAGACCATTCGGGACATCACGCGGGAGACCAGGCACTTCAGTGGAACCTGGAGGTGAGGTGAGGGTGACATGGAACAGATTGTGTGTGGAAGAAATGAGAGTCTGTGAGCCGTCGTGGTGGCAAGTTCAAAAGATTGCAGAGAAGACAGTGGAATGGAGACGTGCTACTGAAGCTCTATGTTCCACTAGTAACCCAAGGGACAAATAATAATAATATAATTTTGACCTTCAAAATATACGAGTTTTCTCAGAGATACTGGTCGTCAGTCAATTAAAATCTTCTAGACAAACGACTCTCATTCATGAACGACTCATTTAAACAGATGGTTTCAAACTTTCATGTATTACCTTCAGCTTGAATGATATTTCATTATTGCGGCTTTTGTGCAATGAAAATAGAAATGTTTAAGTTGAGTGAAATTGATTGTGCTTTGTATTTAGGTTGGAATGTATAATGTTAAAGCTCGGATTATGTTTCTAGACAACATCATCAGGAATAATGTTATCAAGGAATAGGCCATCAGCGTAAATGATGCTATAACCTGTTGTGAAGAAGTGCTACGTGATACGTAGATTATTCTGATTTTCACGCCACTGAACATACGGATCTTTCTAT